CCAGGTACCCCAGCTTCTACGTCCGTGGTCCAGTTTGGAACGGAAAACTATGTGTATTTATTGCTAATGATGTGCTTACTGAATTTATAAAATTCGAACTCAGTATTTTTACCTGCTCCGTTAATATAATTTTTATATCTTGGTAGGAGAGCATATGTATGTAGGCTTTATTATTTTTGGATATAACTTCCACCCTAAAAGTATTGGCACGTCTTTCTGAAACACCCTATATAGCTCAGTAAATGAACACTTTTGACCTAACAAAAATTCTCTTGTTGATCAGAATTTGTATATAGGTTATTGAAATATTTTTTTTAGCAGGAGTTCCGAATCCTACCGTAGGCAGAAACTGAACAATTTTCCAAAAACATTTAGATTCTTCATGCTTTTGTTACGGCCCTGAAAAAGCTATATATAGAAAAGAAGTTGTTGAGAAATTTTTTTAGCCTGATGAATAAGCTACAAGAGTGTCTTCGATATTATCATATCTTCGTCCGTTCACGATATTCGACAATTTACCTATAAATTATTATGCCACGCGTAAATGCTCTTATGTGGAGTTTTCGAGCCATCTGATTGATAATTGTATCATTTACCAAGCATAATAATTAATAACAACTACACAGGATGTAGAAAATGCAGAATTTTATCGTGATTATATTAAAATCGCTCAAAAAATGTATCTGGTGGAAAGATGTATTTCAATGTGAGTAAACATTTTTGTGAAGTTGATTGCTATTTTTTGATAAAAGCCAGAGTATGTACCTTTTAGGAAAGAAAATATACCACTACAGTTCGACTTTGCTTTTAGTCATTTTCGGGCAAATTTTGTGCACAACATTCAACAATATCTTGAAGGGAAGTAATATAAAACATCAATAATAAAGACATGAGGAGTTGAAAATATACTTCCTTGGAGGCACTCAGCAGTTTTTCTATTCATGTTCTAGTAGTAGTATACGTTTATTTTTTCCCCAAAATACAATGTGTTAATAAATACAAATGCTAACTTCAGTACAATAATAAACGTAAAATAAAACATAATACCTGACTTTCACAAAATAATCTTTTTATAAGTCACAGAAAATTTTTAAATTGTTTTGTAAGGCCCATTGAAACCAAAATAGTTGGTTGTGCACGGGCAGATTTTTTTTTATATAATTTTGATAATAAATTTTGCTTAGAGCAGGATTTTATACAACAAGCACACTTGTAAGTATGGAAGGTAAGGAGGAGTAGTATTTATATAATAAAGTTTATTCCACTAACTACAGAAATATGGAGGGTGGGGAGGAGTATTACTAGCGTAGAGACGTGTCTACCAATTAAAAAAATATATTTTTTTAATAAATATTTTATCAAAGACAATGAGTTTATTTTATCAACATACATACGGTACACTTATGGCAAACAATTATAAATTTTACATGATAGGTAGGTGTGGCATCGCAAGCTTACATTTCTTTGAAAAGTTTTCATTTTCTTTATATCTAGTACTATAAGCATGGATAGTTTTATTGAAGTTGTTTTTGTGTTTGTATATGAATTGAATTAATTCATGCAGAAACAGTTGCCTTAGGTCAAACACTCCAGTCTCTGAAAATAATTTATCAGAAGGATAAGTAATTTTTTTGCCAGATATTACTTTCAAAATTCTTTTTTGCAGTATATCCAGAGGCCGCAAATACGGTACTTCCCCAACTCAAAATAGCGTATCGTAGACGTGATTCAGCTAATGAATAATACAACATTTTGTTTAGTGTATTGTTTAAATAGTATTTATATTCCATAGAATAGTTCAAAAAATGAAAATATTAATGTAAAAACGATAAAACCTTTTTCACTTTCTAGAGAAAATTTGAAAATATACTTAAAAAGGTTGTGCCTAAACAGATTACCGTAATGCAGTAGTAACTTTTTTATTTTTTTCAGGCCTTATAATCCATGATTCGTAGTGTCACTAATACTTGTACATAGAAGTATTTGCATAGTCTGGGCAAATCGCATGTATGCATCATCAAAAAATAAACGTACTCTGTCGTGCACCTCTCCTGATCGTTGGCTCATTGTTGTGTGCCCAGCCTACTGGCATTGCATCACAAGAATTTGACGATCGAGAGATCGTGCTTGCATTAACGTGTAAACAATATTTGAATAGGGTTTACCAATACAGCATTGCCTGGTAATGAGATTTCCCTGACTTTAAAAATAATGTCACAACCCCCTCATAAGAAAGCCCTGATTAAAGGCATTACCACATCCATATACACCAAATATCCATCTTTCCAACAAGCATAACGTTTTTTTGTACTCAGCTACGTGCATTTATGTATGGACTAGTCAAAGCTGTAAGGAAATTGGCATCATCTGGTAAACCGTCGTAGGTATGGAAATATCTTAGCGGCAACTTTCGTAGCGTATTCATCCAGCTACCAAATCGTTTTGACAACTTTTTCCTATGTAAAATACAGGGTGTAAAGTTAGTAGTGGATCAACGGAAGTCAGGTGATAGAGGACCTTAAAACCTATCGAATGAACTACTATATGTGTGATCCAAAATTTTATAGTTCAACAGATATTTGCAATTTTGTGGAAGTTCGAAAAAAAAAACGGGATAATCAACTTTCAATCGCAATTACAACTAAACCATTAGGTTTCGGGCTGTGATTTTTTTTCTAAGATGAGTTAAATAGTTAGTTTTAGCAATGGCTATGACACTTTTCAACAGAACCTATAAGAAATCAACACAAAATATCTTGAATTTATTTTTTTGTGTTAAATCTCCTCCATCTCTCAACTTTGGAGGGCGGTAAAAAAAATTGAGGTTGTGTTTCATTATTCGTTTTATTGTAAAAACTATTTAAATCCATGTGAAATAAATCCTGAACATTTCAGCTTGCTACTATGAGTGTTTCATGTCACATTCGTTGTTGTGATGCGATAAACGTAAGAAACGCAATAGAATCCTTACCACCTACAAGTACACAACCTATTGTGTTTAGCCGCTGTTTATGGCGATTTACCGACAAATGTGGAAGATATTTTCATTTAACTAACTAACATGTTCGAAATGGCCTCCATTATTTTCTATACACAAGCGACACCTCTAATAAAATTGTCCTTTAGGCTTTGAAATGAGTTTGAGTTTTCCATAATTTTTATTTTTGCTGCATCAATTTTCTGGCGCAGTTGGTCGACATTTGTATATCCAGATGTATAGATTATCCCCTTATAACACCCCCATATAAAAAAATCTGGATTTTAATTTAATTTAAATCGGGTGACCTTGGAGCCCATCGTATGTGTCCACCTCTACCTATCCAACGCCCAGGAAAGGCACGAAGTAATGCCGTACATCCCGTGCAAAGTGGCATGGGGCACCACTGCATTGAAAATACGTGCGGCTTCGGACGTCCAAAGGTATTTCCTCCAGCAGCTCATGAAAACTGCTTCGTAGAAAAGCAAGATATGACTGACCATTCAAGCTGGCGGGCAATTCATATGGTCCAATTAATTTTTTGGTTGAGTAGTTCAGCCCATAAATTAACGCCGAACTGACGATGAAAGCTGTGTCAGCGAATAGCGTGTGGATTTTCCACGCTCTATGAATGGAAATTGTGCATGTTGAATATTTCATTTCGGGTAAAGTTGGATTCATCTGTCCATAAGATGCTGTCGAAAAAATTTTCATCCACTTCACACCTCACAAAATTCAACCCGTTTTTGTATATGGTAGGGATGCATGTTTTCCGAGCATAGTATTACGTGCACTGAAGTATGATATATGTTTTTGCTTCGGGCAATGGCTCCGGTGCTTATAGAGGGACCTCTCTCGGCTGCTTCTATTGTATCTTCTATTTTTTCTGGGCGTAGACTCGGCGCTCCTAGCTGACGATAGGTGCCTAGTATGCGGCCCTTCATATACGGATTATGGACGCGTTATAAAACGCGGTAGTTGGGATATACCGCCGGTTGTGGTCCACCTCTTTCAACCACATACTCCCGATACATGCGAGCAGCTGCTCGAGCATTTCCTAGGGCAGCACTATAATAGTAATGCATTTCTGCATAATCTCGCGGAGAATATGACATGATTATACTCAGATGCCAAACGTTAGATACAAATTTCGGTCGGACCGAAGATTGAACGCTCCCGCACCTGGAATGCCAAGTTGAATGCTCAAGCTCATTAAGCTGACTTGGCTATTTGCGTAAAAAAATCTCCCATTTTGATTTAACAAAATCTTAATACACTCGCACCGCTAGAACGAATCTACCTCATATGTCAAAATCCACCTGCGTCAGACATTCAGATTTTTTAAGGTGAGGAACTTATCGTAGCAAGCTGAAATTTTCAATGCTTATTCTACATGGATTGGAATAGTTTTTACAATAAAATGAATAATGAAATACAACCTCAATTTTTTTTACCGCGGATGGAAGAGATTTTTCACAAGAAAATGATCTTGAGAGTTTTTGCGATGATTTCTGATTAGCTTGTTAGAAAGTGACATTGCCATTGCTGAAATTAACCACTTAGCTCATCTCAAAAAAAAATCACAGCTCTAAACCCAATGGTTTAGTTACAATTGCGATTTAAAGTTCATTATCCCGTTTTTTTCGAAATTTCACAAAATTGCAAATATCTCCTGAACTATAAAATTTCAGATCATACATATAGGGGCTCATTTGATATGTTTTGAGAGCCTCTATCACCTGACTTCCGTTGATCCACTACTAACTTTACACCCTGTATATACAAAAAAATTAAAAATCAAACAGTTTTTCAAAAATTTTCCAGTTTCTGTCTACGGTAGGACACGGAAATATTTTAGTGACCCAAATTCAAATTTTTGTCCCTTAAAGAATTTTTGTGAGGTTCTGGGAAAATTTTGTGTTCCCTTACCGGGCTAATATGAAAATGAACGCAATTCTTGGCCAATTAGTGAATATTTATTTATTGTATCGAGTTTATTCTCATACAAACGTGTATGTTTCAGATTTCATGAAAAACTACGACTTTGATGGCTTTGATCTGGATTGGGAATACCCAGCAGCCGCCGACAGAGGTGGAAGTTTTTCTGATAAAGATAAGTTCTTCTATTTCGTGGAGGAGCTGCGCAGAGCGTTCGATAAAGAAGGTAAGGAATGGGAGATCACCATGGCAGTACCAGTAGCAAAATTCCGACTTCAAGAGGGATACCATGTGCCAGAGCTATGCGAGTAAGTAGTATTTTGCATACTAAAAACATATTTGTTGTTTAATGTTTCTAAAGTGCTTTCTCATTTTGGGTAGTAGGTAGTAAACTTTTTTATTTGTTGCAAATATCTTTTAATATTGAAAATCCTTATAGGTATAGCTATTGAGTCTGGCTTAAATAGGTTCTATCCTTCCACTTCATCAAATAGAGATCCATTTTTACGACAGCAGTTAGCAAGAAATTAGAAAAAAGTTATAGCGATGCGCGGGATGCACAGAGTCAATCTACTTGATTTAACCTATAATACCTCTAAATAAGATGCTTGCTTTCAGACTTTTAGACGCCGTTCACGCGATGTCTTATGATTTGAGAGGTAACTGGGCCGGTTTCGCAGACACCCACAGTCCACTCTACAAGAGACCCCATGACCAATGGGCATACGAAAAACTGAATGTGGTGAGTATAGTAGAATATTCCAAGTTAATGAATTTTCATAATTGATGTCTTCATACATTTTGAAGTGCTCTTTTTGGATTTTCTCTTTGCCATTTCATATTCTTTCAGTTTGTACCGCTGTATTGAGAAAACAGCGCACAAAAATAGTAATTGGCGAACCATATGCGAGATAACAAAACGGAAATTATCTGCATCTGTTTAACAAAATAACCGATAAATATTATAACTCACTATCTACAGTTTTATTTCTTGCCTAAATAGAGAAGGAACATGAGTAATGTGTAAACTAAGGCCCTATTTTATCAAACTTGTACTAATACGTGATATATTGAGTTCCATGTAACGATACTCCCCTTACTTTATAAGTTACAGGAAAGATCATATTCGCCAGTTGGGTGTTTATCTTGAATAAAAGTTGTAGTGTTTTTTATGTTATTTAAATGTATTTGCTAGTGATTCCAGTTTGGTAGAACAGGATAAGATAAGCTTCTTAGTCCAAAAAAATAGTCAGGTGATAGTAACTTCACTTATAAATGAGATCAAAAAATAGGTATTTAAAAGATGTTGATTTTTTTGTAGTATTATTTCTAATATAGGAATCGAATTTGATGAATGGTAACATAAGATATACTAATGATACTAACTCTGCGCAAATTCAGTACAGCCTAAGCAGTTTTTCATACCTCTTAACCGACTCAATATAAGCACTGACATTTTTTACATTTTTAAATAGAATACAATAGATTTATAACTAAATATTAATGTTATATTCATCACAACTTGGAGTATTCTATTTACAGATTTATCTTTACTTTCTTCGACTCTGATAGGTATTTTCTAACTTTTCAAGAGGCTTTTCTTCCTACATTATCCGAACTGCAGGAGCTCTTTGTCGGGAAAATTCTAGTTCTCTCTCAATACCGTTTTTAAAAGTATCATATTCGATTATTGGACGATGAGGGAGTTCATTTAAATTATTAATATGATATATTAAAAATCATTTTTGCCGCGCCTTTTTAAGATATTTGTATACATACGCACGTGCTTATGTTATTTGGTGGGAAAATTCACCGTTTACAACATTTATGTGCTTCATTACACTTTTACAAATTAACATACTTACTAAACCTCATAATGTCAGTGCTGTATTTATAATTTTAGGGTGACGTATCTTGAAGAACAGTCGGCGATATGTGGAACAAAAATTTGCCTGTACAGGGTGTTTCACAACTTTTGCGTTCATCGTCGTGATATTAGACCACGCATTAATAATTTATTGTAGCAAATGTTGTACCAAACAACTGACGGAAACAAAATACCAGGAATTTTTTGTATTTCCATACTGATAAGAACGAGTAAATAAGGTTTAATCTGTATCGTGGGTGACCTGAATGAAGATCGGTCGATTTTTGTGAAGTTAAATAAGAAAGTATTATTAATCGAAAAGGCACATGTGTGCACTAATGAGGAGTTAGTGGACATTGTTTTAGCGTACGGAGAAGCAGGGCAAAATTCGCGAACGGCTTCTCGTTTGTATGCACACCGATTTCCGAATAGGCACATACCGCATCACGAAACATTTAGTTCAATTGTTTTACGTGCACGTGCTAGTGGAGATTTGCGCCCCAGACGTATAGTGGATGGGGGTCGGGTTCGCCCACAACGCGTTTTAAATGCCGAAGACGAAATCTTGGATATTGTGGAAGAAAATCCAGGAACAAGTCAGTTAGCTCAACAGGTCCCAGAAGTGTCACATGCAACAGCGTGATCCATATTACATGAGGCTCGAAATGCCCGTTTTACAGCTGATATTTTGGCCACCGATGAAGCTATTTTTACTCGCAACGGGATAACCAATCTTCATAATACACACGTTCGGTCCTTTGAGAACCCTCACGCAGTGGTCCAGACACACTTCCAACATCGTTTTTCTTTAAACGTGTGGGCAGGTATTGTCGATGAACGTCTAATTGGACCGTATGTTTTAGAACGATGGACTACAATTATGGGTAGACATGGGATGCTCGCCAAAGAAACTAGTTGTCGGCATACCATTTTATGGAAGAACATACACATTGAGTCGCGGTAACAACAATCACAATCTAGGAACCTACATTAACAAAGAAGCTGGTGGTGGAGAACCTGGACCGTACACAAATGCCACCGGATTTTTGGCTTACTATGAGGTGAGTGCTGGAAAGTTTTGTTTTGAGTATGCCTTAATGATTGTGTCAAATTGTGTAGATTTGTACTGAGGTGATGAACAAAGACGCTGGGTGGACCAAACAATGGGATGAACACGGAAAAGTGCCGTATACATACAAAGGTAAAGTATACAGACTAACACCCTCTACTTTTGTCAGCGATCAGATTTATGCCTGTAGGTCAATGGATGCATTTAAAAAAAATCAAAAATCGTACACGAAGATATCCGAATATATTTCTACATCATTAAAAGCAATCGATACTACACATATTTGCAATGCAGATTTGCTTTTCGAATGATATTGCACGAAAAGTAGCTGGTTAACTTTACATGGCAGAACTTATACTGAGTGACAAAAAAAGATATACACTTACGTATGTTTATTATAATTCAAGAATCTTTTACATATCGATTTATCTTGCCATGAACAACAAGTGATAAAACGGTCAGGTTTTTCTGTTAAGTTTTTGTGGTGGTTGCGTGTATTGTTCGGTGATAATCATTCAGTTTTCGTATATTTACGGTGTCAGTTTTTCGTGTATCTTAATGAGAAGCCTTTCTGTGATTGTGATTGTTCAAAATGCCTAGAGTGCGTAGGATTTGCCGGGTGTCCAGGCTAAGTGACTTTGAGAGGAGCGGAATTGTCGGGATGCGTGAAGCCGGTCTATCGATAAGAGAAGTTTCTAGGAGGACCAATAGATCCTCACGCAGTATACTGCAGTTTGAACGAGCATGGACTCAGGAAGGCCAAGGACAGCGCGCGAGGGGTTCTTGATGACCCAGAGGGATCACAGAGCGACAAGACCGCCGGTTATGACTTCTGGCTCTTAGGCCCGTATCGGCAGTCGTCCCTACAATATTGTAGGGCGCGTTTATGGCCTCCTTGATTGTCATAGTTTTCTACTTCTCCGTGTCAGCGCTCTATTTTGAGGTTATGTCACAAATATCTATTTGCATCAAATTGTGTTTGCTTTTGAGTTATATCATGTTTTATCAGCCTGAAATTTCCTACAATTTAAAAAGAAAACATATCTTCACAATAAGAGAGCGCTGACGCTGACACGGCACAAGTGTAGGGCGCGTTTATGGCCTCCTTGATTGTCATATTCCTTTCTTTCCTTCAAAAATTTCTAGATTGCACCCGTCCCGTGTCAGCATCAGCGCTCTCCTATTGTGAAGATATGTTTTCTTTTTAAATTGTAGGAAATTTCAGGCTGATAAAACATGATATAACTCAAAAGCAAGCACAATTTGATGCAAATAGATGTTTGTGACATAACCTCAAAATAGAGTTCTGACACGGAGAAGTAGAAAACTATGACAATCAGGGAGGCCATAAACGCGCCCTACAATTGTAGGGACGACTGACGATACGGACCTAAGAGACAGATTCAGTAGTACTCGAGCTATCGTTAATCAGTGGTTTGAGGAGCATGGAAGGATGGTTTGGTATGCGTACGGTATATCGCCGAATACGACAGTTTGATCTTTTTTCTTGTCGACCACATTGGGTTCTACCTCTCACAGCTGAACATCGGCGTAACCGTTTGGTCTGGTGTAGAGAAATAATTATATGGAACCAAGAATGGAATCAGGTGGTCTTTAGTGACGAATACTGCTTCTGTCTGGGGATGCACAATGGTCGGGCAAGAGTGAGAAGACTACATGGTGAAAGACGTGACCCACACTTTGACAGAAAGCGTCACGTTCATCACAACGTGGGAGTTATGCTGAGGGGTGCTAGTACTTATGGTACCAGATCACCGCTAATTTTCATCACTGGCAATATGACAGCCCAATGCTATATTCAGGAAGTAGTGGAGCCTCATCTTATTCTGTACCTAAACACCATCCAAAACCCAATTTTTCAGCAAGACAATGACAGACCGCATGTTGCCAGAGCATCGTTAGCCTTCATGGATCAACATCGCGTCAGCTGTTTACCTTGGCCACCACGATCGAATGATGTATCTCCAATTGAACATGTCTGGGACATGATAGATCGCAGGCTCTTGCATTTGCAACGCCCTCCACATACTTTAGCAGTTCTCACTCACGAAGTTGCAGTATCCTGGAATGAGATACCCGATTGATATCGAGCAGCTTATCAGCACGATGCCCAGGCGTGCCAATGAGTGTAGAAGAAATCGTGGATCCTCAAAACATTATTGAACCAGCTTCTTCAGTCAGTTGACGAATCAAGCTGAAAATTTAATCGTTTTACTAGTAAGGGACACTGAGCATATATGCAAAAAATCATTAAAATCGGATAAACGTACGTAGGTGCTTAGTTTTTTATGTCACTCAATATACTTCGAAGTTGAGTCATTTATTTTAACAGTGAGTAGATCTGATCAAAAGAAATGTTTTTTCCTTTACCATTTTTCTGGTAAAATTAAAGTAACAAAGTTATAGCCCTTTGGAAGTTTGAGTACCGCCCTGCCTATTATATGCTCGTGTTTGGCGACAACGGATATAATCCGCCTGACCGGTTCATCGCATCCGAAACAAAAAAGCGAAAGAATTTGAAATGTTTATCACGATGTTTTTCGTCAGTCGATAACGCGTTAGTGAATAGTAGTGTGTTGCGTGGCTCAAACGAAATCAAAAATGGCACATGTTTACGAAAATGCTGAACTTGTGGACATGATTCTTATTTACGGGGGGGCAGTCAAATGCTCCCGGATGCATCACGGATTTATGCGAATCGGTTTCCCAATCGAGTGCAACCAACCCCTCGTGCCTTTGTTAATGTAGTACAAAGGGCTCGTGAATCAGGTGACTTAAGACCTCACAGGTGAGGGCATGCTGCTCCAAGACCGCACGATCAAATACAGGTCCGCACTGAAATACTTGTCGGGAGGATACTTTATTAAACAAGGTAACATTTTTTTTTATTTTTTTTTATTTTTACACACATATTTTGGTTTATCTTCCTTCTACAATCATTATCTGAAAATTAATGACTCAACTTCAAAGTCACCCTGTATATATTGTATATCCTCAATTATACCAGAACCACACACTGAAATTGTATTTTTGTAATTCTTTTCATCCTCTCTCACTACGCGGTCGCTCTTTGTTATTTGATTTCAGGATGGGTTTTGCAAAAAGGTGGTTAATATAAATAACGTTATGCAATACAAATTATCACTGCGTGCGGGTACGCAGGTGAATGCCTTTTCGTAGCAGGAGGACACACCCCTATAAGCGCTAGATGGGTACTGACAAAAATCGCTGATCTATGATCATGGAGGTGGACATCTTGCATTGGAATGTACAAGATGCGGTGTTGTCAAATGAACCAATGATTCAATGTTGAAAAATTTGTGGCGATCCTGACCTTTCATTTCGGCCTAAGCGAAGTTAGGAGCCATCCGGAATCGATCCTAAACATATTCGACACAATTGTAAATGAATCGAATAGAGACATGTTATTATTATTATTGATTCACAATTCAAAAGTATATATCTATGCTCGAAATTGAACTCAATATGCATATTAATTCGAGGAACCGGTCGGCTTCTATCTCTTTCTATCTTATGTGCCTCACTTCTCTCTCGTACACATTAAATTCAAACCGTCAGACAAATTTGGTTTTGACTGTATTTTAATCAAATGACGATGTTCAATATTAAAATTTTTTGGAAGCCTAATTTGCCCAAAAAAGATCTCCTGCTTGATATCGACAGAATGAAGCTGCAAAAGTTGACCAAAAGCTTAAGACTTAATTAAATGACCTGAAAATATATTTCCGGAGGTTTTCAAGTAATTCATTGTGGATTTCTTTTCAAAATTACTAAGTATGCTTTTTTAAAATGTCGGATTGGTATGTCGGTTCCTGTAGCATGACTGATAGTCCCGAAAGAAGACAGTTCATTTATTTTGTCGATATAATACATAAGCACATTTCTCCAGTTGAGTGATCATGTTTTTCGAAATTGCTATTGAATTGTTGGGGCATCATTAAAAAACTAGCTCTGCTGCTTGAGGGCGAGTCCGTTCCAGAAAAAATTAACGGCAACACTATTACGTATTTGCAAAATGACAGGGATAGCGATCTCATTGCCATAATTGTTACTTTGGAACTAGTTACCAGTTATGTTAGGTTTACTTGTAGCAGCTGTGTGTGTTGCCTAAATGTCAAGATATTTGGGCTATGTGCAGTGGCTATATAGCTATATAGCTCCTATGGTCTGAGCTGTAAGTTCTATACTTTAACTCGTGCCTTTCCTCCATAGGTGGCATTCATAGAAAGTAAGCGTGGCGTTGGCTAGCGACTAGCTAGTAGGGACGTGACAAGCATTCCAATCATATCGCATATCATGGCGACGACTTTACATAATACGAGAGCGGGTTGTTTTTTGTGGGACGCCAATACTCACTACGCTGTCGAAATTTGTTGAAGTTTGCAGTACCACTTACAATAATTAAGGAAAACTTGATAATGAGTTTTTTCAGAAGTGTTTATCTTCATAATACTTGTGTTTAGGACATTTTTCTTCAGGGTTATGTAGGAATCCAAGTAACACTGAGATATTCGCTCCTTGTACTTTGAAACTGTTGAAAATCCTGCAAATTGCCAAAATTTTGATAGTTTTGCCAATTTTGAAAAGCTGTAATGACAACTGTTACAGGCTACTATGAAATTCAAATGTTAAATCCTCCCTCGCAAGGAAGGGTTAATGTTCTGTAAAATCCAAGAAATGTCTCTACATGTGGCCCATAGCCTGGCACCCTGTATACTATTTTCAAGATTAATACTATCTTTATAAGCGGCTGGAGGTATAACTTCAGGCAATAATACTCTGCAGTACCTAATACATTTTTGCAGACAATGTCACTAAAAGTTATATTTCTCTTGTATTTTATTTTCAGTTTATCCAGGGTGTTCTGTACTAGACTAGAAATAGCAAGTTGTATGAACCAAGACCTATTCATATCTAAAAATAAAAATGTTATTATTTCAGTTTTGATTTATCTAAACACGCCCACTATTCAATATCGCATACTTTAGGCACCTTTGAACCGATTTTCAAATTTTGCACGATAACAAAGTTACCCAGAAGTAGCTTAAAACTAGACCTGTGGCTGGAAAATCCAGGATCGACCTTGATTCTATTCGCTTTTTTGGGTTTTGTCAAAACACCCTCTAAGCTGAAAATTGTTATACATATTTGACAATATACAAAAAAGCTAATGAATGGTGCTACCGATTAGCAGAATAGATTGATTGCTTCTCTTTTAGTGTCTTAGTTAAACTTTTTAATTTATCAAAATATCTTATATGACACAAATCTTGAAACTCCAAAGGCTATCGACTTAGTTTCACCAACAGTTCACAAAATACTGCTTAATATCGAAGTAAAGATGTGTGTTGAACTCAAAATTTTAGGGTCGGATTCAGTTTTTGTATTTCTTTCTACTTCATTAAGTGCAACAAGAACAGTAACACATGATATAAATAAAATGAAAAATTGATGTTATGCACTCTACAACTTCTTTCAGTAATTTTTTAATGACTTAATTCTACCAACTGGTGTTATACAACATGAGTTCTGCTTTTCTGTTCTGTTTTCTGCATTTGATTCTCCAGACCAATTCGAAATATGACGAGAATGAAGGAAAACTATATATATATATATATATATATATATATATATATATATATATATATATATATGTCCGGACTCAGCATTTTCAGTCTAGTCACGCTTACGTACTCTCACCAGAACTCCACGTGAGATATACCTACTCGTAGCTGTACATAATACAATCATGGTAGATCACACAATTAAATGTCAATTCCGGACAGGTGTACGACATTTAAGTAGCTTAATTCGGTCTAAAAGGTGAAATTTAGTGGAATTGCATGTTTAATGTCCTTTTAATCAGAACTCGTTGTTGAACAATATCAGTTGATAGAATTAAATCATTAAAAAATTTACCAACACAGTAAATAGTGTGCATCACATTAATTTAGCCTTTGGTCTATGTCATTTGCTGTTCTTGTTTCTACGAAATAATAATACATTTAGAATACTTGCAGGGTGTTGCACTCAACTAAATAAAAAAGTCGAAATTCTGGAATTTTGAGTTCTTAAAATATCTTTAGTTCAAGTCTAAGCATTATTTTGTAAAATGCTGAAAAAGACAAGTTGGTTACACTTGAAATTTTGAGTTCCGTGACACATTATCTACTAAAAATGAGATAATTGAAAAATAAAATCATTAACAAAAAACCTGAAAAGGCGAAATAAATCAATTTTCCCAGTTAATTAGAATCATTCATTGACTTTTTTGTACATAATCAAACATCTTGTGATTCGGGCTAAGAGGTGTTGATTTTAAGTATAAAAAAGTGAAAAAAACAGTCCTTGCAAAAATTCAACAAAATCGGTTTAATACTGCATGAGATATGTGATACTAAAGATTTGGCGTGTTTAGATATCCGTAAAGAATAAAAAAGTGAAAAAAAAACAGTCGTAGCAACAATTCAACAAATGTGGTTTAATACTGCCTGAGATATGTGATATTGAAGATTTGGCGTGTTTAGATATCGGTAAACACTGGGTTTAGAACTGTTTTTTGTTTAGTTATAAAAAGGCTTCGGTCCACACTACCTAGTATTTCACTATGTCCATTCAAGTACGGAACACCTTGTATATCATCTTTCAAATAATATTCTTTATGTACATTTAAATTTGTAGGCACACAGTGGGTCGGTTATGAAGATCCAGAATCAGTACAAATCAAAATGGACTGGATTAAGTCTAAGGGCTATGCCGGTGCAATGACGTGGGCTATAGATATGGACGATTTTCACGGACTGTGTGGTCCAAAGAATCCTTTGATCCATATTTTGTATGCAAATATGAAATCATATGATGTACCCGAGCCCACAGTAACTACAACGCCAAGGGTAAGGGTTGTTTTACACAAAGTATTCTAAAGGTCATGACTGAAAGTTTGTTAAGAGGAATCATGTTGATAAAGTCCACCCAGGAAGATATTCGTTGCGTTTTACTGTTACAAAGTGGTGAAGGTATTTCTTGGGATATATGAAATTTTACGTCCTTTTTCAGCCAGAATGGGCTAGGCCAAAAAGCACAACATCTCCAGACTCTACTAAGCCAGCTTCAACAACTAAGAGACCAGGTAGGTTTTTTGAGACAACAACTAAATAGTGATTCCTTAGATATGCATTATGATTCTCTTTGACTCATTGAGCTATTCCACTAGATAATGTATTAATAACAACAAACTAATTTAACTATTTTATCGACATAATGCTGATAAAAAAATCGGCACTCGGTAAATGATATTCATTTGATCGCAAGTTACTACATACTAGTTTAATAAAAAGTAGGCATGCCTATCTCAGTTTTAGTTTTTAGTATTAATTAACATATTTTTTTCTGCCAGCGTGCGCATCTTCGTGCAGATAGTAGCACTGTTACGGAAAAGTTATGCGTGCGGAAAAGTACTACTTTCTGTACGCAGATGCGTGTTGAAAGTGAGTACTTTCCGCACCCTGGTAGAAAAAATCTTATACCTAACACTTTACGGGAAGTTATACTTTTCCGCACGCGACGGCAGTTGCACGAACGACGTTAGGTAAATAACTATTAGGTTTGAGTTAATTTTTTAAATTTTTCTCTGAATTTATTTAAGATCGTATTTCAAAAATACACTAACATTGCCACTTTTCTCCTCTACATTGGATTTTTTCACAGCTGAATAGTTTTTGATTCGGAAATGGGGAAAGTTTTTGAGGAAACTTTAGGCTTCCGATAGCCGGCTTCATATTTATTATCGGTCAATTGGTTTTGACAATATCGAAAAACCGAACATGGCCGAATTTGTTTTTTTGCCAGTAAATCCAACGGTTGATTTGACAGCTGTCTAAATGTGACATAATTCGGACATTTTTTTAAGAAAAATAAGATAGCATGTCTTTTGTTTTCCAGCAACCCACCTCAACTTAATGTTTCTTATGGCCGCCATATTGGATTTTTGGATTTTTTAAAACAGGGTAAAATTTCCAGTTAAGTGATGTCTCACAAGTGCATAAAAGATTGGAGTATCACCGAAATATCATCACAGGTAATGTTACGTATTCGTTTTTTTCTAAGGAGGCCATGATTTATTTGTCAGAAAATAACATTAATGAGTAAGGCATAAAAAACACATAAACGCGTTGAAATTTCAATAGAATATTAACGTTAATATCGACTTCTCAACAAGTCAAATATTTTGGGTCAAATTTTCAACTATGAGTGTGTTAAAAAAACAAGTCAGGAAAATCGACGTAAATTTATTTTACACTTGAACAAAAAGACATTTTAAGTTATGTAATTATGTAAGTGTGTATTAATTTACAGATTTGCAAAACAGCCTCTATTTGCATCCAGACATTTTTGACAATTGGTGACTGTTTTTCGAACAACCTTAGTTATAGTATTTCTGTTAATGTTTCTAACTGTTCTCAAAATTCATTGACCCAGGGTTGCTATGGTCGTGCGAGGGTCAAATCCACAGGCATCATTCTTTGTGTGACCCCAGAGGTAGAAGTCCAAGGGTGAAAGGTCAGGGGATCTAGGAGGCCAAGATATTGAACCATTTAATGAAATTATTTTTTCATCAAAATACTCTCTTAAGAAGATTCTGACTTGAATGGTGTTGTGAGCCGGACATCCATCCTGTTGAAACCAGGTTCTTCTAAACTCATCTTCGGATAGACTAGCTCATAAAGCCGGTGCAACCTGGTTTCGCAAAAGCTCTAGAAACCTCTGTCCGTTTAGGTTGTAGTCAAACAGAAATAGTCCTATAAGTCGATTTCCTGAAATGATTAATACCTAGTTTCAAATAGGTGCCCAATTAAAAAGGCTAGATTAAATTACCAATGACCCCACATCAAATGTTAGCGCCAAATCTGGTCTGTAGACGTCTCTCTGCTACTTCGTGAGGGTTTGCCACAGCCCAATGATGAGTGTTGTGCTTATTAAAAACTCCACAATTCGTAAACCTACTCTCATCGGATCACAAGACATGATCTACAAGATCGGGATTTTCATTAGACTTCCTAGTATCCCACTTACAGAAGCGCATGCGCCTTGGAAAATCAGTTTCCTTGAACTATTTTAGGTTTATATGGACGGTACTTGCTCTTATTTAACACTCTCTGTACTTGTTGATTATGACACACCAATTTCTCGTTCTGTAGTTCTTACTGATGCACTATGGATTTCGTTGACAGCTTCTGAAATTTTTCTGTGCCGATTTTGATTTTCAATATTGTATCCGCTTCTAGGTTGTTCGAAGGCTTTATTATTAAATTAACTACTATTCTTCTAAATTGGGTTTTATGAGGCTGCCGTCATTCGGAGTACATCTCCAAGTACCTTGCTGAGGTAATGTCGGCGTTTCTGTGTGACTGCAACTACAGCCCTAACATGTCAAACTTTTTCATTTGAGTAGGGAATACCGGCCATTTTCAACACGTTTTGACATTTTTTTGTCAGATTTATGATTTTAATAAGAGAAAACGTACCTACTACTTATTAAAACACAATTTTAATACTTTGAATTATTTAACGTCAAAGGCAGAGCCTCCTTAGATGAAAAAAGTGCGTTACATATTAATTTTATTTTCTAACAAATAAATCATGGCCTCCTTAGAAAAAAAATAATACATAACATTACGTGTGATGATATTTCGATGGTATTTCAAGTTTTTATGCACTTGTGAGACATCACTAGGCAGGAAATTTTACGCTCTTTACAAAAATAAAAAAATCCAATATAGCAACCTCAAGAAAAATGAAAGTTGAGGAAGGTTGCGGGAAAACAAAAGACGATTGAGACATGTTATACACGCTATCTGGTTTGCCATAAAAATATGTTCGAATAAAGTTACATTTTGACAGCTGTCAAATTAACCGTTTGGGATTTACCGGCAAAAAACAAAATTCGCCATTTTTGGCTTTTTGGGGATATTTCCAAAACCAACTGATCGATCGCAAATCTGAAGTCGCCTATCGAATGCACTAAGTTTTCTCTGATACTTTCCCCATTTATTATTTGCTGTAGGTATAACAGGAGCCGAGATCCCTGTATAGAGAAGCGAATCTGGGACACACTGTATATATTTATATACAGTATCCATAATTAAGTTGCCTTAATTCGTAATGAGGAAGTATCCCTGTAATTTCTTTGGGACCAAAGCAAAGTTTTGCAAAGCACACTCTTTTAACTTAAAACTCAAGCTTTTAACGGTCTATGCCATCATCATCAGGAGCTAAAAACAAAATTTTGCAAAATAGCAACAATAAACAATTAATAAGGAGTATCATTACTTACTAAGACGGCGAGATTATTGCTGAATTTGCTCTTAGATGAAGTAGAAGAGAGCACATAGTCAACGAACAAAAATGTCATACATTGGCATTGGCAAACCTTAGTTATTTCAAAAAAGAGGCCGCAAAACTATTAGATAGTCATTTGTTTCATAATATCTTCAGTCAAAAATTTCTTCAGTTTTTATGAATATGTATTTCCGGTTTTAATGATGTGATGTTGTACAGGATGCCCATCTATAAATGGAACCCCTCTTTAACTTTTATATGACTTTCTAGAAGAAAAAGACCTATATTAAAATTATAGAGTATAATATGAAGTTTTCAACTTTGTATTTAAAAGAGCTATCGAAGTGGATTAAGATATTGCCTTCAAATTTTATACATGTGGCAATACAGTAAGATAGTTTGACAGCAACTGTTATCTGAAGGATGGTTGACCATGCCATAGTGTAATACGGCTTAGTTTGTACCCTTGCGGATAGGAAGCTTGACACGTTCAATATTACAGAGGAATGGCAGCCTAGTACTACCCACCGCCCTAGCACACCATCTCGCCGGCCGTCATCCACATCCTCTCCTGAAGGTTCTGCTGTTTCTTCTACGTCGGTACCTGCAGGAGCAAGTGCAACAGCAAGTCCAGCAGCAAATCCAACAACTGCTACCAATCCCAACGAGATAGATTATCCGACTGAGTGCAAAGGAGATTTCATGCCGCATCAAGATTGTGAAAAGGTATTCATATAACTCTAGACACCTTACCTGGTAAGACCAATTTGTCATCTGTAATGATATTCAACTGAGAATCTGAGAAACCGAGAATCTAAGAATCTGAGAAACCGAGAATCCGAGAATCTGAGAATCTGAGAATTTGAGAATCTGAGAATCTGAGAATCTGAAAATCTGAGTTCGAGAATCGAGAATCCAAGAATCAGAGAGATAATAATCAGAGATTACGAGAATCGGAGAATATGAGGATCTGGGTATCCGAGCACGTAATTTCTTCAGACTGTAATTAACAGCATTTAGGCAAGCTGGGAACATACATGCTTAGTTAAATGTCGTTCGGTGTTAAGATTTATATATATTTACACTTTAAAAATATGTTTATTATTAAATTATTGAAAGTTTTATGGAGCCTGAACCTAAATTACTACATTCTTCAAAATGGTTAGTCCAGCTGTATATATATATACTTTTTGGTTTTGCACATAAACAAAACTTTCTTCTTTAAATTTTCAGTACTATCGGTGTGTGCACGGAAAAGCCATGGTATTCTCTTGTAAACCAGGATTGATCTTCAACACTGCATCCAGTGTCTGCGATTGGCCATCAAATGCTGACCGAGAGAGGTGTAAGCAAGCGTAAAATATTAAAAATGTGATTTGATAGTTAGGTTAGATATACTTTTTGAGACTTTTACTGTAAACCTGTTTTCAATAAATTATTTATAACATTTATGTATTTTAGACTTTGTTTCCAACTAGATATTCGAAACCGTTGTATGCGATGAAAATCAGGGCAACCAATTTATAGGATATAACTTAATGATAGGTCGTAGTTACAAGGGCGCATCTCTGATCTAAATTTGAGATGAAAAGCATATAAACATGTGTCCTAAAAAGTTTGGTTTTCCAGATACAGAGTGTCAAAGACTGAAAGAAAGTTTTTTTATCAATATCTGAGCAGGAGATGCTTATTCCAATACTTATTCTAAAAGTCTTATCAAATTGTTATCACTCTTTCATTGTTTGGACTTTTGAAAAATGCTTATAAATAAATATTGTGCATCGATCAAATTAAGTTGACTATTTAACAATTTTTTAAGCAATGAAATTGGTTTTATTTTCTTGAAAATGAATTGAGATACGACGAGATACCATGTACCTTTATCTGCTTAATTCGAAAAAATATGTTTTTTTCGAAAAGTCTGACTTACCTTTGTTATCAATATTGTATGTAATACTGCCCTAATAGACGATTTTATTAATATCTCAGCGGAGGTGGTTATTCCAATACTTTTTCTAAATGTTTTGTCACTGTTTAGACTTTTGAAAAATGTTTATAAATAAATATTGTGCATCGATCAAATTAAGTTGATTATTTATTAATAATTTTTTAATAAGAAATGAAATTGGTTTTATTTACTTGAAAATGAATTGAGATACGACGAGATACCATGAGATAGTGGAGCTGTATCTTCATCCCACTTTATGGCACTGAAATTTATATTTATATTCTAGTGGCAACTTAGCATGTTATTGCAATTATAAACACTGCCAAAATTCAACAAAACCGGTACAATGATTGAGATATTAACAAAAAACAAATCTTATAAAATTTCACATATATCTTGTAACAAGACATTTTATGATGTATATGAGTGCTTTTCTACTTGAAATTGATTTAGGAATGCGCATTTGTAATTACGACATACCGTTAACCAACATAGCTGATTTGTTTTTCCATTATCTTAAAAATGAAATGCAATAGATTCAACTTTTTTGTCTTCATCTCTTATTGATAGCCAGTATTATGTATGTTATGCCAGCCTCTGGAAGTCATATTCTAAACCACTTTACATTCGTTTCCGGAAAAAATATTCCAAATAGCTTCCATAGTGTATTGAACTTGAGCTCTTTCACAATACTACATCTGTTGGCATACATGGGTGCCCGCAGGTTTATTCAAGGGTGACGACACTGTACAGAAAAAGTTTTTCTACCTATTTCCTGGTTCCTGGAGTCAAATCTCACTATGTTTGGGGTCGAGAAAAGTGAATATGGCCATAAAGTTTTTTAATAGCTTTTATTTTTAAGACACACAGCAGTTCATTGTATACAATGGTCTATTCGCAATGACGTATCCTTTTGTACGTCGAGTCGGAGCTGTTAAATTTAGTGATCTTAGGGTCTAGACGACATCAACGCCATTAAAACACTTTTCGCGAAATATTCATTGCATTTGTTTAGCTGTCTAACATGCTACTCCATTCTGTTGAAACTACATTTCTTGTAGGTTAAGTATCCGAGTTTTAGAAGCTACACAGTGAGCTGCAGGTTACGTCGGCGATCTTTATAGCCATATGTAATACTTTGTGGCTCCAAAGCTCGTCCAGTTAACCGTAAGGCATAAAGTTTCAGCAGAATGAAGCAATGTGTTACACTGATAGAGAAATGAAGAATGTTTTGTGAAGTAACGGGAAACGTGGCTCAAATTCATGCGTCTTGAAGATATGAATGAATGGGCATGATACTGGGGTCTGTATAGTTACAATCCTGATCAGAAGAAAAAAATGCTGAGCAATTTGAATGCTTAAAAACGAAATTATCTCTCTTCTTGGGTAAAACTAGCTTCAACCAATCTTGCAACAATCACCGTCGCCGGAATCTAGTGATATGAGTAGATGGGGAGTGCCAGTTACAAAACCTCCCGAAGGGAGTGAAGCGGTGGTTTGTGTGGTAGGGTAAGAGGTTTAAATTCCAAGTCAAATTAGTCGACGGAGAGTGTCTCCCCCTCCTTCCCACCTCTCTCCCCCCGCTACTATAACTCATCGACCGGGCGAACGAGCAGCAGCCCTCTTTTCCCACTTCAATCTCGTGATCCCTACACTTTAATCCAATGATATGACCATTCTACTTGTAAAACCTCTTGTCTTCTCATCCCTCCACCATAATCCATACCGACAAATTTGTATCATATAAATAGCTCGAGAAGAGTCGACGAAACTTAACATTTCTTTGATTGCCTTCACTCAGTTGAAAGAAAAATTTTAAGGCATTACAATATAATGTATGTTATTCATGTATTTATCATGCGTTGATGTTCTTCAATGAAATAACAACAACTCAATATGTCAGGTATTTATTTAATAATAATACATTGTATAATCCTATAGTAAACCAAATAGTATTCAATCATGTTCCACATCTTGTCAAACCAGAGGGGGTGTACTGCTTCTGGAAAGGTAAATATAATGGTCAATATCAAGTGGAACATGATATTTGTCAAAACAACTTTACCTGCTGCATTTTTCTAACCCAGTTCCAATCTGAACCTTTATATTATTTATACCCAACATATTAGCCTATACTACCTCATATTTTTAAACTAAATACTACTGTCAACAAAGTCAAACCTTATCAAACATTTTGAACGACTACCTGGTGTCTTTGGTGAGCTTTGGCCAATATACGCTAAAGAATATTTGTTTAGGGACTCATTTATATCTTTAATCATAATTTCGGGCATGTTTTCCAACACTCTTTTAGGTGGCCAAACCCTAAACTGGCCAGAATCAGAATCAAGAAGGGTTGCTACTATGAATTGCCCAAACTTTGATTGAATACTTGAAATATCCTTAATTGGATAAGATTTGTTTACAGTTGATGATGATAATGTTCTAGATGGTATATTGTTGTCAGATTCGCAATTTATTTTATTGTTTATTTCATGCAAGGCTGAGGTTAAATAAAATAAATATAGTGTTGGATAAATAATATAAAAGGATGCTCACCAAATTCTATCTGTTAGGTACTTCAAGAATATTATTTAGTCACTTATCGATGTTAAATGACTGAATTTGAATAATCAAAGCTGTTGTTGCTTCACCATTTATATAATAACTAGCAGAGTTAGATTACCTTACAGCACCGCCCCATACCCTAAGGCATTTGAACAACCCAACCCCCAGATAAATTTCGGGTGGCCCACAAAAAAATATATAGTCAACATTTCTATTATTCTGCACGGAACACCTGAGAGACTTTACAATCGGCATGGCCATTGTGAGGACAACAATGCCTTAACAACACCTTCCATCGACGACTATTTTTCTATTATAAACGCGTTTATGATCTGAGGACAGAAGCGCGAAAATGTTTCACAGTTCTTGATAGGGGACCGAACTGGTGTGTGGTTTTACAATTTGCAGGGTCATTGAGAGGGTAACAATGCCTTCCTCGAGCTTTATTCGGTACAAATTTGTCGAACAACACGTTTTCGATGCTATGAGGATGGTCATTGAGAGGACTCAGAATTTAAACACCCCCGCCCCTTACCCCACCGCCCCTTACCACACCGTACCGCCATGGGTTCCGTCGAGCTATTTACCTGAGCAGAGTTAGATCACGTTACTGCACAGGTAGTCTACAAAGAATACCGCACCACACACAGCGATTGAGAGGGCAAAAATGCATTACATCGTCCGTCGAGTCATTTCAGAATACGTTGGTGATCGGGGACCGAACCGATAATAGGTTTTAGAATTAGCACGCAAATTGAGAGTCGACTCTTTTCGAGCTATTTATACGATACAAATTTGTTGGTATGGATTATGGTGGAGGGATGAGAAGACAAGAGGTTTTACAATTAGAATGGTCTTATCATCGGACTAAGGTGGAGGGATGACGAGATTGAAGTGGGAAAAGGCCCTTTACCCCCCCACCCCATACCTTACCGCACAGGACGATTGAGAGGGCAACAATGGATTACATCGCCCGTCGACTCATTTTAGAATACGCTGGTAAACACGTTTTCGATGCTAACAGGATTTTTTTCATTACTAGACTAGACTACGAGTATATGGTATATTTGAGTATTTTCTGTACGTATAAATCACACGCATCACAGGACGGTGCGTTGGAGTGACGCCGCTGCTACTTCCGTCCAGCAAAGATAGAAAATGATACGTAGACACATCATTCATTTCCCACTTATTTTCATATAATCGAGTTTACCATGTAGTATGTGACTATCAAGCTGTTAACATAGTGGGATAAATAAATATAATCAACACCAGTAATTTAAGTTATAAAATAGAATTTGAATTTATTTGCAGTAAGCAATAATTATTAATAAAATTTAAAAATGGATAAAGGAATTGATAGCAGTCACAGTTCTGTGCCCAACAAGGCAGCAAGTTAGTAGTGACAAAAGTAGGTATTTAATAAAACCAAATGCCAATAAATGGTGAATGTGATCGTATACACATTATCCACCACTATTGCAAAAATTGTATAGTTCAATACAAAATGAGAGTAGTACTATGTTTACCTATTTCATCTAAAAGCAAAGAACTAGTGCTTAGCGGCTCTATGGTCCAGCGATAAAACAAATAATCGACTGATATAAACGCGAAGAAGTATTCTGCATCGGTTCTTTTGGAAAACCTAGATAGTCTCCTGCTAGATGGCACCGCTTTCCTGTATTTACCACCCCATCGACCGCTTTATTTTCAGTTTTCATCTATTTAATAATTCATAATAAAAGGTGGCCTTGGTATGCTTTATAAAATTTATTCATGTGTGTAGAATCGTTAAAGCATGGAACTGGACAAAAATGAGGGGACGTTGGTTTGTGGCTGCGACTATTGTTGGAATTTGGAATAAAGAACTTTTGGCCTAAAACAGCAGTAGGCATTTCTGTGTGAAGGAAACTTTTGAAGAATTAGAATTT